ATTATATTATAAACCGTGAATATCTTATTTGAAATAACTAATCATGTTACATACTTCACATTTTTTAAAGAGTTTGCACATATGTAGTCTCATTGATTTTCACTCTGTCAACTGACAGGTTAGATTACTATAATAGTAGTGAATGTTTATTGTGCGCATACTCTAACTGGTAGGGATAAGGGTACTTTTACATATACATGAATTCACTCTTCTTCCATTTTGTTAAACTAATTATTTGAATCCCAGTAATTGGCTTCTCCAGTAATACTGCTGTATGAAAAGAAGTTGATAGGTTATTTTAGGTTGTACATTGAAGTTTTAAAACCTTCAACACTTTTTTCAAGGTCATCAAACACTGGAATTAGATTGGGAGCTCAGTTTGCAAGAATCTTTCTCTGAAAAATCAAAGGGCAATTTTTATTTACAAGTCTAGCTTGATAATTGGATGAATTGTCAATACAGGGAAATCACTTCTTAGCAAGTAGTTTTAGTCAGGAGGGCACTTTGTAATTCAGGAGGTTGCATAGAACAGAGAGGATGAAAAAGGGAGTGTGTTATTTCTGAGGGATATTTCTGTCAAGTAGTAGTACCCTGATTAATTGCCCTCCTGCATTCTAGGGAAAGTCCTATTTAAAGAAGCAAATCAGTCATCTAGAGTGGAGAACTTTTCCCCTGGATATGATTACAGAGGCATTGGTGGAGCCTTTTTCTTTTTAAAAAATCCTTACTAATTAGCAGAAACATATGCCTTTAGTTTATGACATACCATATTTTCCAAGAATATGGATTACTTTATGATATATCATATTTTCCAAGAATATGGTTTTATATTAACTACTTCCTAATTTCACATTACAAAGGAAGCACTGTAGTCTTATAGGGATCCTCTAATTGATTTATAATTAATTCCACTTGTGTGGTTTTTGTTAGTATCAAAAGTGTGTATCACTTGCTCATTTTGTCTGTGAATGAGTTTTGGGGAGGAGGTGTCTATCATAGTGCTATCTGATGACCAACACAATTTAATTGTGAGTCTTTGTGAAGATGTTTTAAAATAAGAGAGATAGAAAGTACTTTGATAAGATTAACCCTTTACACTTGGATGTCCTCTCTGAGGGGACATTGTAAATTTAGCAAACTGCTTGGATGTCTCCTCTCAGGAGACATAAAGAGGTGATTATACAAGGACAAACTTAAGCAAGCACGAATTTTTCAGAAGTGTATTTCCTTGAGATTTGCCATTCAGATTGCACAAAACAAATAAAGAGATGGAATATGTACTGAGATATACACAAAAAGTATCAACTGGCATTAGGTAGAAAGAGAATATGTGAAGTGTTTTCACAGTGGTGCACAGACTGGGCAATAAATTGCATATTATTAATGTGGGAGGATGAAAATGACACCACATTGTCTGCTCAAATAGGAAAACACCAGGTGGAAGACAAATTACTATTTCACAACATGTATCAATGAACCTGCAATGCATGTCGGTGACTGTTTCATATGTTACCACGTTAGAAAAATATATCAAACATATCAAAATTTGATTTTTTTGGCCATAAATAAGTTCCTCAATGTCCAAAATTCCATTATAAGCTAAATATCATTACAATAAAATAATTGGTTCCAACACTATACTATTTAATATGAAATGATTGTTTTTCATTATTTCGTAAAAAAGTGAGGCCGAAACCATGCTGCCCATCAAAGCTGGACTGAATTTTAAAAATGTAGTACATATACACAATGGAGTATTACGCAGCCATAAAGAAGGACAAACATATGGGCGTCCAGCAACTTGGATGGATTTCGAGACTATCATACAGTGATCTATCACAGAAACAGAGGACCATATGTTCTCACTTATAAGCAAACCTTGAACAATTATCGTAATACTGTAAGAAAGGAATTGAGTAGTGGGAAACTACTGAGGGATGAGAACAGGGTGGGGGGAAGATTGGCAGTTGAGGGAAACTGCCAGGGGAAGGAGGGCACTTGCAAACTTATCAACAAGGGTACTTGCACTGAATATTTGTATACCTAGCCCTGAATTGTACCCCACATCTTTAAAACAAAAATTTAAAAAACTTACCAAATACTAGATTAAAACAGAAAGAAAGAAAGAAAAAAGTAAACAGTGGAAGAAACCAGAAACTTGAGCTGGTTCGGTGGCTCAGCCTGTAATCCCAGCACTTTGGGAGGCTGAGGTGAGTGGATTGCCTGAGCCCGCGGGTCTGAGACCCACCTGGGCAACTTGGCGAGATCTCATCTCTACAATAAATCAAAAATCAGCCGGGTGTGGTAGTGTGCGCCTGTAGTTCCAGCTACTCGGAAGGCGAAGGCGGAAGGATCGCCGGAGCCCAGCAGGTCAAGGCTGCACTGCTCCCTGCCACTGCACTCCAGTCTGGGCAACAGAGTGAGACTCCAACTCAAAAAAAAAAAAAAAAGGTTTCAAATGACTTGAACACGTGATACACACGTCTAATCTTAATGGAATATATTTAAAGGAAAAAAGAACTGGAAAAAATTTAAACCTTCCTTAGTAACTGTGATGATTAAAAAACAAAAAAATGAGGTCGAGTTACTAATAGATGATCCATGAGATGTCTCTGAGTGCAAAGAGTTAAATATGCAAGGTAGTGTTTCAAATATTAACACATTGGACACTCTTTACTTGGGACTTATTACTATTGCTGCCATGCTTTATAGCTTACTTACAAGTTTCTCTTTATTCACAAGTAAATATGCCTATCATATGTAAGATTAATGTAATTTTGTATGTAGCATATTGATATTTTTATTATAATATTTTGAATATCAGCAAGGAAATGCATGTAGATCTAACTAAAACGTGGGAAGTGTGGACAGTACATATCTTAATAGTTTTGTTGCTTTGAATTGGGAGCAAAGAACCTTTAATACCTGAGTTGTTTTTTACTTGTTTACTCTCATTAAACTATCCTTAATGACCAGGCTCAGTGACTCAACCTGTAGTCCTAGTTACTCGACAGTTAAGGCAGGAGGATCCATGGAGCCCAGGAGTTTGAAACTGCAGAAATCTGTGATCGCGCCACCGTACCCCCAGCTTGGGTGACAGAGTAAAATCGTGACTCTAAAAAAACCCACAAAAAGCATTTTTGAGGATTTATCATATTGGTCTAGTGCAGTAGTTATACAATAGATGCTAAATAACAGGCTCTTAAGTGGTTGGGCAAATGAATAAAACTTTTAAAATTTATTTTATCCCTTCATTTACCTTTATTTAGCACTTTAAGAGTTACATGTTTTTTTTTTTTTTTTTTTGAGTTGAAGTCTCACTCTGTC